TTCTCCCAACATCTCTAATTTCAATGGAGACCATGATTCAACAAGGTAGACCTTAACCAAAGAGGTCTTTCTCCCTACCACAACAAAATAGATGGCAGTGGTTCATCACACAGCTGGCAGTGTGCTCCTCTGGAATGTAAAAACTGGGTTACTTTGTGAAAGAGAAGATAATCCTTCAGAGAATCTTATCCAGAGCTGTATAGGATCTGGACCAGGTTGAACTGGTTTGGCAGTTATTTGACAACTACAGTGGGTTAGGATCTGGGTTGAACTGGTTTGGCAGTTATTTGACAACTACAGTGGGGTCTCTACTTAAGAACGTCCCTACTTAAGAACAATCCAACTTAAGAACAGCTCCATTTGCTAAATTTTGCTTTGCTTGTGAAGAGGGGATGCTGAGACAGACTGTGAGACACTGGGTTGGGACGAAGCAGCAGCTGGGGAAGAAGAAGCTGTTGTGGGAGTCTGTGTGTCTGACAGGGTACTACTGTGGGTCAGAGTACCACCCTGATAGGTTGAGGGGTCTGTTGGTTAGCCAGAACTGATGGGTTCAGGGTCTGTGCTTTAAGTTAAAGGTTCTAGGTGAACCAAACTGTATGCTTGTGTGTGTGAGAATAAGCCACGTTACTTTATTTATTCACCTGATTGTTTTATTTACCCTGTTTGTATTTAAAATAAACCTTATTCTTTTGTTGTTTAAAAATCCATCCCTGGTCTGTGTGACTTATTATAGGGAATGGTTGGTGGCAGCTTAGTAACTGTGTGATAGATCCCAGTAGGTCTGGGTTTGTCACATTGATTGGTGTCCAGCGTGTGGGATACGACTGGTCCAGTTGTCCAGCGGTCCAGCAAAGCCTTGGCAAGTGTGCCCAGAGCAAGGGGGGTCTAGTCAGGGACAGTCTGAGGCGCGTAGGTAATCTTCTAGGTGTACCTCACGGGGAGGTGCACTAGTAGAAGAACGTGCCAACTGGGGAGACTTAGATTAAGGTGCTCTGAGGCAGCCTAGTTTTGGCGGGAAAACGCTGAGGCAAAACTGCGTAGCAACAGTGAGCTAGCTTGCCAGCTGAGAGGCCCAGCAGAGGGGGGTAGGCTCTGACTCGATACTGTTGCAAATTTAGTGCTGAAGAACAGCAGCAATCTCTAGGAGAGCTGGTTCTGAGGCAAGAAGGAAAAAAGTGGTCGTTTTATTTTGAGGCTTGACTTTTAAAGCAGCCTGTTCTGAGGGGGGATTATGCCCTTGACTCGAAGCAAAGTAGCAGACATGAGTGAAGTGAAAGACCCCCAGATTGACCAAGGTTCTGAAGATGAATTTGGCTCAGTGCAAGGTGACAGCACAGGAGAGCAAGACCCAGAACGCAGAAAATTGATCCTAGCCCAACAGCATGAACTGAGGGTGAGGGAAATGGAGGAAAGGGAAAGAGAGAAACAGCGGCAATTTGAATTAGAGATTAGATCACACTTCTGTCCAGTTCCTCCACTCTCTGGAATAAATTCCCACTTTCAGTGCTTCACTATAGCCATCTCATTGGTGCAAACATTAACTATGACTCATACTAACCAGGTTCTTCTTTAATCAGGATTTGCTATGTAGCATTTAATCCTATTATTAAAGAACCATCATTTAGTTTTAACTGCGGTAGCGTTATATGGTCCAAGATGTAATGTTATATGGTCCAAGAAGGGGATTTATTATTGACAAAAGATAGCCTAAGGAAAGAAAGTGAACAAACTGATAGCCCACTACTGATCTTCTGCCTATAATCTAGAAATCCATACAGTAGGTCTATGCCATCCTTGTGGCTTTAAGACATAGTGTCTGCCATTTTGTGTTCAGTTACGAAAAATGTGTAATTTTTGAAAGAGAATTGCTATAAGTAAAGAAATCCCTTAAGAACACATTTTACAGTGGGGTCTCTACTTAAGAACGTCTCTACTTAAGAACAATCCAACTTAAGAACAGCTCCATTTGCTAATTTTTGCTTCTACTTGAGAACAGAAATCCAAGATAAGAACAGGAAAAAAAAAACTTTCCTGCTCTTTTTTTAACCTTAGGTCATCTTAAGTTAAAAAAAAAATTCTCCCCCTAGTGATAGAGTACGTATTAACCAGCTTTGCATTAGTTCCTATGGGAACTAATGCTTCAATGTACGAACGCACCTCTACATAACAAAAAAACAGCCAGAACAGATTAATTGGTTTTCAGTCCATTCCTATGGGAAATTTTGCTTCAACTTAAGAACATTTCAACTTAAGAACACCATTCCAAAACGGATTAAGTTCTTAAGTAGAGGTTCCACTGTAGTTTCTATGGACGGAAAAGAGGAGATACGGATTAAATGGTTTTCAGTGCATTCCTATGGGAAATGCAGATTCAACATAAGAACTTTTCAACTTGAGAACCACTTTGCAATACGGATTAAGTTCTTAAGTAGAGACCCCACTGTACTGTATTTCATGACAGAACTTAATATGTGCATGGTAAGAGGCCCCATTGAGCAGCTTAGGTGCCACATTGTCCACTCATTGCAGTTTCTAAACCAAGTCCAAAGGTACTCCTTTACAGTAATAGAGCCGTGAAATTATCAGTGAAGGAATAAATGTGCCCAATATCCAGTGTCTAACTATGCATTCCTGTCTAGGAATAGTCTTCACTGCAGTTATCAGCAAAAGTTGAACTAGGTGCTCTTTGCCACTTTCCCAAATGATGATGGATGGTAGTTGCCTGTTGGGAATGCCATTTTTTTTCAAAACATGTCTTCAATTAATGCAACATTTAATACATTCTGAGAAAATAAAATCAATGATCTGCTGGCCAGTTATTGCTGCCCATTTTCTCAGAATCTCATCTTAAGAGAAAGCTACAAACCATTATTAGTAAATAAAATTAATGTGAATGAATGAATAACAAAGTAAATTCAATTTGTCATTCATTTATTAATGTCACATTAAACTCATGATGTTTTTAGTGGAAATGAATATCCCTAATGTCCCATTCAATTAAAAAAAATTGGCACCAGAGTTGGTGGGGGACTTCAGACTACAGCTGAGTTGTTCTCTCCTCCCTATTACAATTAGAGGTCACAAGGGTCTTTTTGAACCATTTCCTGCCAAAGTTTAAAAGGAAAGAACATTGCAGGGTATTTGAGTTCTGGGGACCTAGGATGTTGAGGGAGCTGCATGATCCCCACTCATGAATTAAGTGGTTATCTCAAATTATCTACTCGTAATGCTGATTGAAAAGGGCTAAATACTAAATATTAAAAAGGCTAAGTATCCAACACACTAGATTTAGAGATCTGTAAATCTTTCTGGTTTCATTCATTTTTGGGGAAGGGGGGAAAGATGCATCATTTTTTCCAGGTCATTTGGGTACCAGCCTGTTAGTTAAACATGAAAAGAATGGGATTTTGGGTTTTTTTTTGCTTTTGCATGTCCTCATTCATGTTTCTGGCACTGGACCAAATAAAGCCCTACAGAACCCTTAACATTATTCGAAAAAGTAGGGTCAAGATAGAAGATAAGAATCTGTTCCAAAAGCAGGCAACAGCAACAATACATCAGAAAGAAAAATCAGTCATCATCAGACTTATGGATCCACTAACAGTATTTTAAAGTTCACATTTATTATCATACTAGTATTCTCATCAACATCAGCAGGAGATAGT